GCGGCATGTTCCTCTCTGCTTGAGTAACAATCAATGAAAGCCTGTCATGTGGGGTGATGTTATGGCATCGGCCCTCAGTGCAAAGGAGATAGCCCGGCTCTTATCTCTGCTTTAGCCGCCTCTGTCGCCCCTGCTCTGCTCCCACACTTTTACCCGCCTGTAAAACACCACGCACTGGGGAATGTTATTCATTGGGTCATTAAAAAAAAAAACATGACAGCCAGGAGGGGGTGGAGAGGGCACATAGGGAACGTGCTCCCCCACCTCTGATATTTTTTTTCCCCATGGCATATATAGCGCAAAATGATCTTTTGCCTGCCCATACCCCCTTCAGATCAAGGTGCGCCCCCTCCACATTTTTTTTATTTCTGGCTACACCCCTGACAACGGCAAAAACCAGTCGAGAATGTTCATATACACTCAAACCTCAATATAACGAACCCGGATAAAACGAAATATCTGTTATAACGAAGTGAATGAAAAATAGTCTTGCAGTAGATATAGTGTTAGGAATAAATGTTTATAACAAATTTTTGGATATAACAAACTTAATTTCATATAAGATGCAACTTTGTTATAATGAGGTCTGAGTGTAGTTGCTATCTCAATAAAAACAAAATTGATCTTGCCTTCGAGTTGTCTTAAGCGTATGCATAAGGTACCCTGTGAGATTTTTTTTATGCACTGCTTTCTAGAAGACAAGGTAGGGGGTTTTGGAGTATACACAGAACGCCCTAGCCACATAAAGTATTGCTACAAAAGGAAAATGAAGTTTTTTAAATTGTGTAGTTTCAGCACAGCAATGAGTGCTGGAAGAGATTGGCTTTCTGAGACTAGGTGAATGACGTCATATTACGTCCAGCAGTCTAATCAGCTGTGAAGAAAAAGCACCTTATTTTTCTCTTAATGTCATCTTAGGGAAATGCACTTGGGACTGTGTGAGTCTCTGGCATTGTACGTCACAGTGTTTGTCTAACATATCTGCTGATAACCACATGGGTATATGCACGCACGCACGGCATCGAAAATGAAGAGCGAACGACACGGACACAGACACAGTTACCACGAAACTATTCGATGAAGTGCCCTCCAAATGCAGCGCGGCCCCACGTATGTGGCGCTAACTAAAAGCATGGCATTGTCACTGTGCAAAAGTAGGTTTTTGTTTGTTTGTTTGTTTGGAGGGGGCGGGGGCACATGTTTGTTTGTTTGGAGGGGGCGGGGGCACAGACATGCACGCTGCGCCTCACATGCACGCTGCGCCTCACGCGGCGCAGCGTGCATGTCTGCCACCACGGCTTCGCACTTCGGCGACGGCGGGGCAGCGGGGGAAGATGCATGTTCGTACCAAAATGCCGAAATGCGGTGCAAAATTCCAAGATTGTCCATGAGCAAAATTCATTATTTCAAGGTTGTCTCCTGCAGTTACATTGTTACATAGAGGTCGCAAATACATATGCTCCTATGAAGCGACAGCGGGGAATCGAAAACCTTCGTTATATCCAAGGATTCGTTATACGGAGGTTCGTTTTAAGCAGGTTCAACTGTATCCACAATTCGATCTCGAAATACTTCGAGATAAAGGGAAAATAACACATGGGACATAACGGAAAAGGTTCGGTGCCATAGAAAATTTCGACTTCGTCGATTTTTCGAGATATGCAAGTTCGAGTTAACGAAGTATTGCTGTACATCCATGCATGTGACAGTCAAAACATTGAGAAGGGTGACAAAATGGCAAAGATCAGGCCTCTACAATAGCTCTGTTCAGCAGTGCGGAATTTTTCTCAAAGAATCTGAGCGTGGGACGACCAAATGGTGCCATATATTGGCAGGCAGTGCTGCAAGATGTTTACAAGAAAAGAACCATTATGCCTTGGTTTCAAGAAATTGGTCATTTGCTCTTCATCAGGGCACCGTTTCAACATTGGTATCTACCGTGGCAAAAACGATAGAAAAAGCACAAATGTACCGCTTGCAAAGTGCTTGCAACATGCGTTGTTTTGAAGAATGCTCTGAAATGTCCCGATGTGTTGTTAGACCGTGTAATTTTTATGGACAATTTTTTCACATCACATGCAAGAGCTGAAAAAGCGTGGATTCAGGGCCACTGGGAACTGTAAGGGAGGTCAGGCTGAAGAAGTACCCACCTTTGGATTCGAAAGAATTAGTCATTCAAAGCAGGGGATCTTTCGATTTTATGTGGTATGGCGACGTGCTTACTGTGAAATGGTATGACAATAAGTGTGTTTGCATTGCCACAATCTCTGATGGCATTTACTTGACTGCCACAGTCACTCGCTGCTCCAAAAAGAGTGAAAGCAAGTTTCGGTGCCTCAACCCAAACTTAGCCAAGCCCAATGCATTCAAAGCCTTAGATTACAAACAGGCACCTACACTAATCCCGTACTTATGGAACACATTTACCCCTATTTGTATATGACCAATATGTGCAAGTATTGCTGTGATAATCAATCAATCATCTATTTTTGCACAAGCATGATAGTTACCATTGGGGGTTATACAGATACAGAGGGAGGTCCCAAAGTCAACAGACTGTACAGGCGACTACCCATAAGGAATGAGTAACAAAAGTATGTACAACGCAGCTAAATATGAGCTCAAACTAAACGCTAACAAAAGAAATATACCACTAACATGATTTGATTATAAAATAGGGCTAAAGTAATGATTATGCGGAGTACAAGTAAAATCGAAGGTTAAACTTGAATGCGTAAAATGAGAGAGAGTCCTAATATGGCATGCTAATGAGTCCCAAAGTTGTGTGAAGTTAGTAGAGAATTTACCGTAATTAGTTCTGGGTTTCAGTAATAAATAGCAATTGCTGGAAGCCAAATGGGTAGACATACCCGTTTGGCAATATGGCCACACTAGCGCATAATTTCTGGGAGTGTCCAGCACTAATTGCCAAAATGAGAGATGCGGCCTTCAATGAGGACCTTCGGGTGCATTGGTGCACCGCGCTGCTCACCTCAAGATTACATAATCAACTCTGGGCGATCCAGCAGGCCAAGAAAGCTGCGAATAGACATGGTCTCTCGGCCAACTCCTAGGTGGGAACCCAGCCCGGTAACCCGCGAGAACTGAATGAAGTTAATTATTCATTCACTCTTTTTTTTTATACCATTATGCGCATCTTCACTTTTTCGTTGGCATTTGTGGTGTCCTAACTTTGTTCTTGGGTTCGTACGCTTTGTCTGTTTTAGAATGATATTTTTTCCAGTTTTCATGTATACTATATGCAAAATGAAAAGTCTGAAATAAATTTTTTTCTTGGTACTAAACAGGGTTAAAGTAGTGTTACACGACACGCGTGCCCAAGCACATAGCTTAAGATGCCTACTGCGATAAGTCATGCTGGTGCGTTCGTCTGTGGCCACCATCTTGCCTTTGTTCTTTCTCTGTGCTTACCCGCAAAGGCATCGCCGCAGATGTAAGAATTATTGATCGTTTTAATCTCTAGTACAATTAAAGCCGGTGTATATTTAGGGTTTCCATGGGACAGGCTTGAAAAAGAGCCAGATTTCAAGGTAAATGTAGTCTTAGTAGCCATAGATATATCACCAAGTTAGTGGCCATATAAAATAAAGTGGTATTATGACTCAAGTGTTTATCAGTTACACTTAATTATTAATTACACTTAATATAATTACACTTAATATAATTTGTATTGTGTAAAAACATAAATACAAGAGCATGAATCTACCTTCTAACTTGATGTTTGAGCCATGGAACAGTGTCAGACTATTTATTTAGTTATTTTACTATTAATTTATTTGTTCATTTATTTTTGTATTTGTATACAACAAGGCTAAAATCATTATAGAGGAAATTGGATAAAGCTCGACGAGAAAAAAGCAACAAATTACAGTGGTTAAACATTAACTGTAAAGAGTTCTTTCAATAAATTATGCAGTAGTAATTACTGCCTCATGAAAGTGATGATTATCACCATACGAGTGGTAATTTCACTTATTTGCTGTGCTAGGTAGAGAAGCTTCGAGTCTCACTGAGTGGGATGCATAGCAATGGCCGAAGTGATGGGACATAGCAATGACTAAAGTGATGGGACATGTAGTGCAGTAATAAAACATATATGCTGTAAATGGTGCTAAAATGGTAAATTCTACAAAATGATTTCATGTGGCAGAAATTTTGATTCTTTGTTAGAGATCAAAAGAAAAAAAACTATATTTAGTTGCTGTTAAGCTAGCAATGCATTTGAGATTATAATATTACACTCCCATTCAATAAAAACAGAAATATTCATTTTTATTGATGCGACTTTTCATAGATATATATCGACTACGCACGAATTGACTACGCATGACTACGCATGAATGAATGAAAAAGCATTTGGAAGTTTACTTTGTGCTTGTTCTGTTAACACTGTGTCCTGTGTTTCTTGTAATCTGTCCCTACTGTAAGCACATCACAAAAATCAATGAAAGCACATTATAACCTGACAGATGTGTACCTCGCTTATCTGCATAATAGACGAATGATGGTGTGGAGCTGTCCTACTTTACAAAAATCATGATTTTGTGGATTGTCAATACCTTGTTAAAAGTTCAAACTTTGAACAGAGTGGTGCTGCCCAAACTGAACCTGGGATTCGCATCAGGCAGTATTGTAATCGTCTTAAGTGTTGCATCAGTTCCAAAGGGACCTTCATTGTGGCCCTGCTGTTTAAAGATCTGGAGAGTGCTCAACCATGGTCACTCCACCATCGATAAAAAAGACTATACTCCTTTGGAATGTGGTTTGAAGGAAAAGTCGGTTTCGATTGCGCATTAAAATGCGTGCTTATCCGGAAATTCACTGAAGAGAAGCTATCATAAGATGTAAATGCCATGGTTATTGTAGCAGTATGTTCACCTAGAAACTCTGTTTCAAAGTAAAATAGTCCATAATGCAAACTCCTTCCCTCTTGTATCCAAAGAAAATGACTGACAATGAGAAGGCTTGTGCGCGTGCAGAGTGGGCGGAAAGAAGAGACTGAGCCTGACCCTGGTGCGACAGTGAGAGACGTGCCGCGAGATCGTAAGCTGCGTGTCTACTCGGATTACGGGCAGGTGCGGCAATGCCTGACGCACCCGTCCTTTGAGTTGGTTGATGAGGAGAAGGACGCCGACGTGCTATGGCTCAACTACCACTTCAAACAGTACAGGTGGGCACCTTCCACACAGACCTTTGTGAGACATCCTGCTTGATAGCGGCATTGAATGGGTGCAATGAAGTCCACATATCGGGGGAGCTGTTCTCAACGTATCTGCCTTGTGGACATTCGGCAGAGCGCATTCGGTTACTTGCCAAAGCAGCGGGCCATGGCGTCCTGGTGCTCTTGACCACGTTTACGCACCAAGCTTGCCACCACATTCTAGTGTAAAGAGAAAGAAAGTAGATTAAATGGGCAGTAACGTTGACAAGTCTGAGCACGTGTCAAGCTGTTTGAGAACGATGTGCGAAATGCATGCTTACCTTCCAGGTGCGTTAGTTGGGCAGCCGCATTAAACCTAATTCAAGGGCTGATGTGATTATAGTTTATGCACAGCTTGCAACATCTGCGTCCAAAAACTCTTGGGGCAGTATTTGTTGCATTTATATACTTTCCATCCCCCTCATTTTTGTCGATAGTTGTGAAAGCTTCGCAACATTAAAAATATGTTGTAAAAGAAAGATTGGAAACGGAGTGCTCAATCAATCAATGCAGAAAAAAGTGCACAGTCCATGAGGTGGACGCATCAAGGATCGGGCTCCTGGCGACATGTTTTGTCTATCCACTCCAGTAAGAATTCAGAAATTTAATTTGCGTAAATTCAAGTTATTGCGATTCAGTGTACAGAATGAAGTCCCAGAATGAGAGACTGAATGGGGACCTCCTGTACAGGGTGAACATGGAAAAAATACAACTTTAGCATCAAGAGGAAGGAAGAAACATTGCAATATGCATTTTGAGAGCAGTGGCTATATACAATTCAGATACATAATACAGTAAAACCTCAATAATTCGAACTTGGTTATCTTAAAATCCTGCTTAGTTCGAAATATTTCTGCAGTCCCGTATATTGCAATGGAAGTCTGAGCGGATGATTTGAAGACCAGTCCGGTTAAATCAGAAACTTTGGGTGCTATGGTACAGATTTCCAATCCTGATTTCACCCCAAATTCGTGGAAACGATGGCCCTTAAGAGCCACAAGGCAATGAAATGTAGGATACTAATGAGTGGCAGCTGAACCACCACAGCCTCGCGACTTCCTGTGCAAAAAAAGGGGAAAAAGGGGGGGGGGGGGGGGGTCCCAATGTCAACCAAAATGTGTGCCTGTGGAAAACAAGGCATGGTTCACTGCAACACAGAGATGACATGCGGGCAGCATATTGCATGTTTCTTGCAATGTCAACATGTCATGATTTAGCCATTTTTTCTGGAACTGTAAAGAATATAATGAAGGACAGTTTCGCAGAATGTATGTGAACTTTCTATTGCCGGTTGCTCCAGCAACTTGAACACTTGCACGGCTGGTGGAGTTTTTGCCTGCAGTGCCTATTTTGAAAACTAAGTACGAAATTTTCACTGATCATGTTTTCCAGTTAAAACACATCACGAATTTCATTATACTAGCCTTTATGAAATTCTATATTTTACCAGAAAGAATAGGCGAATGGTCACATCATGACATGCTGATGCAGCGAGGTGCAGGCGACAGCCCGCGTGTCACTGTTGCAATGCAGTGAAGATCTCTGATTTCCTGCAGGCACGCAGTTAAGATAATCGCAACTGTTGTAGCCTCGACGGACGAGCAGAGACAGAGTGGCCGGGAACGAAGAAGAGCAAACGGTTTGTTAGTGCATGGCTACTGTGCAGGAAAGAAGTGTCGCCTGAAGGCGGAGCTCAAACAGTGTACGCAGCACCTGGCAGAAAATTTAACATAGTTTATTTATGCGATCATTACGTTTTACGACCCCATCAGGGAAGAGGTCTCCGAAGCAGGGAAGGTGCAGTGCGTGCTGGGGCAGATGCACTCTCAGCTGCAAGATTTGGTGGAGGGGCATGCCTACAATGACTTTGCCAAGTTGGTGAAGGCAACGACGGCTTAATTGGCATCGCCTCCAGCACAGACCACTGCCACTTTCGAGCAACCAAGTAGTCGGAGATCTGGCGTTCCACCCTAGCCCGGCCCTCAATTATTGCTCACTGCCGCAGCCGAACACTATGGCGATGTCATCGTTCGCTTCGTTTGCTGCTGCCTCACCGGTGTCGCCGACTTATCACTGGCCACTTCATCCAGCTGTGCCGGACCCGTCATACTGCCGGGACCGGCAGTACTCTGGTGACAAAGCGCCTCCGTTCTGACTCTACGGGCCGGGACCATAGCCGCGGCAGGAGCCCATGAGGGGAGCAACGCGTGTGCAGGGCCATCGCTGTGATGGATTCGGCCACATTTCTTGTAACTGTGCGATGGGTCGACGAATGGGGCCACCCGTTTGCTTCTGGTGCCAGCGATCGGGTCACTAGCGAGCACAGTGCCCGGGAACCAGTGGCAGTAGGTGCTACGGCAGTGCGCATCAAGTAGCGACCTCAGCCGGTGGCAAAGAGCCCCTTATGGATGTTCCTATCGGGCCGTCGACGTTCAAGGCCTTGCTAAACACAGGCTCAAGTGTAAGCTTCTTCGGACCTCATGCCGCTGCGGCGGCCCAAGCTTCTGGAGCCAAACCCAAAGTGGACGTACGCGTGCTGCATTTGGCATCAGGCTGGTCGCAGTCGACCAGGTCTCTAAGTGTCAGATCGAGTGGGCTGCCGGTTGCTGCAGACAGCAGTTTTGTGCGTTCCTGACCTGTGCTGCGACGTTGTCCTTGGTAGGGATATCCTGACGGTGAGTGGAATTTCTCTGCACGTGTCACTTGGTGGCTGGACTGTCGGCACAGAACCACAAAGAATTGTGCCCTTTGTGAAGGCCGTTAAGGAACAGCCAGAGGAGACAGTTTGCGCTGCATTTTGGCTGAGGGTGATGCCAGTGTGTGTGCCAGTGTGCCGGACGCGACTGCAACCTGCAACGTGATCATTCCCGGCCACTCGTCGGACCTAGACCCACGCATGAAACACGTTTTAGAAGAGTTTAGTGAAATCTTCACCAATACTCCGAGCGGCACAACCCTGGCAGAGTATCGCATAGACACGGGAGACAACCCAGTTGTTCCATGCAAACTGCGACCAGTGAATGCCAAGAAGCAGGTCATCATGGACAACTGTATTCACGACCTGTTGGCACAGAACCTCATTCGCCCTAGCCAAAGTCAGCATGCCAGTGCTCCAGTCCTGGTTGATAAGTCTGGTGGCTACCGCAAGGCTGTGGATTGCCACTAGCTGAATGCACGCACTAAGGTGCCAGTATACCCCATGCCCAGGACTGATTGGTTGCTGGCACAGCTGGGACGTGCCAGGTGGTTCTCAAGTTTTGATCTTTCACAGGGTTTGTTTCAAATCCCTGTTCAAGAGCAGAATATTCCAAAGACAGCGTTCATTCACCATCGAAGAACCTTCGAGTTCATGAGAATGCCTTTTGAAGTTGCCAGAGGTCCTGCCACGTTCCGGACCCTGATGGACCGACTACTGGAGAGAATCAATCATCAGTTTGCCATGGTGTTCCTCGATGATGTCCCGGTGTATTCGAAGACCCTAGAGGATCATTTCAAGCATGTTCGGGAGGTGTTGAAGCAGATAAGTTCGGCACAGCTGACCATTAACACAGAGAAAATGCACGTGTGCTGTCAATACCTGAAGTTCCTTGGCCATGAAATATCGCCCGGGCAGTATAGGCCGGACAAGGAAAAAGTGCGTGCGGTGCTGGACTATCCTCAACCAACAACACTCAAACATCTGCAGGCCTTCGTGGAACTAGCAGGCTATTACAAAGGGTTCATACCTCAGTTTTCTATCACTGTGCGTCCATTCACAGAACTCCTTAGGAAAAACTAGAGCAGCGCTCTACAGTGCAAGATTGGGAGTGTCTGGCTGTGGTGTGGGCAGTGGACAAGTTCGAACCATACCTTGAGTTCACCAAGTTTGAGATCCACTGTGATCACTCCTTACTGTCCTGGATGTTCACCACAGAACAGGCTTCACCACATGTAAAGCGTTAAGTTTTGTGGCTGCAAGGTTTCAACTGCAGAATCAAGCAGAGATGGGGTCTTGCAAATGTGCCAGCCGACGCTTTGAGCAGAGCTCCCCTTCACAACCAGGAAGTTCCATGTCCAAGTCTACACGAGACGCTGTTTCCTATGGCTGTTCCAGAGCCCAGCCCACAAATCAGCTTTAAGGCAGCTGCTGTAGCATCTGAAGTGGACGACATTACTGTCTTGAATAATGCAGGGCTCTTCGCCCAGGAACAAAGCAGGACCCCATATTGTCAAAACCACTAACTGTGATGAAGGGAGGGAAGCTTCCGCCCACTGACAGTGATTGACCTTGATCAAAGACCTGGCCGAGACGATTGAGATGGAAAAGAGTGGGTTGCTTGTACAGCACCGAGGGAATAGTAAAGTTAGTAAAGTACCTTGGCTACTAAATCATTTCTGCATCTTGGTCCTGCAACTGTCCCATGATCACCTGATTAGCGGCTACTTCGGCTTTTTTAAGACCCTCAAACGCATTTCTCAGAATTTCGTGTGGCTGGGTATGGGCTCGTACATATCCAAGTATGTGGGATGCTGCCAGGTTTGTCAGCACACCAAAGCCCATTGCCAGAAGCCAGAAGGGCTGATGAGCAGCCAATGGGCCACTGCCCCCATGGAACAGCTCAGCAGGGACATAATTGGGCCCTTGCCTATGACGCCTAGACGCCACAAATACCTTCTCGTGGTGATTGACAAGTTCACCAATAATACGGAAAGACGGGCTAGTTGGTACTGCTGCATAATTGAAGTTTTTGCGCACACACACAAGGACACAGAAGAAGGGAACACAAGGACCAGCGCAGACTAACAACTGATTTTTATTCAGTAAGAAAACAGAATATATACGCTTACTTGCACCCCATGATCACCGCGCATGAGCAAAAACGGCATCGTACAATCTTAAAAAACCAAATATCACATGTTGTTCAGCAATTCAATTTCTTTTTCACTAAGCGATATCGACGGATGGCTGACGCACATATCTTTAAGTCTAG